GACAGACAGACAGACAGACAGACAGACAGACAGACAGACAGACAGACAGACAGACTATTGCATTTCTCACAGAATGTTTTAGCTGTAGATTTAGATATAGCCTGCACATTTAATTTTCGTATGGGGAGTCTGCAGTCCCCCGAAGGCTCTTTGGCTACATATCGTTACATGCGTTGTCAGAGGGCTTCCTCTTCAACAGAGATTATACACTACGCAACAGTTTACCGGAGTTCTGCGCAGATAGATTTGGGTGAATGTGTTGTAGAGAATGACCTATGGCGGTGCGTAAGAAACTGAACGGCTTCTCAGTTGAGAGAAAACGGCTGATCCCAGCGGAGATGGATGAAAAAATTTATGTAAAAAAAACATTCTTCATTATGAATCCAACGCGCATGTTGGTGCGGTATAGGGAGACATAATTCACAGTTGACCCAATTGTCCAATTTCTTCTGTCTCCCTTGTTTTAGCTTGAAATTTGTACAGAACGAAATTCGTATATAACGAAGGGATCTCTGCGTCTCTCCGATTTTGCTATGTGTGCGTGCTTGGCTGCTGTGTGAAATCTCATTTTAAGACACCTTTTTAAAAAAAACTCGAATAGAGGGAAAAAAGATGAAGCTGCAAAACGTTCGCTGTGTGATACACATGGTACTACTCTTTCGATAAACATTTTTTTTTCAGAATGGTATAGAATAAACCAATAAAGTGTTCTATAATGTTTATTAACTCATATAAAACAACAGATAAAAAGCTATAACACCCAAGCGTATTTAGTTTAAATTAATATAAAAATCGTAGTTGCTTAGTCTTACAACAAAAAGGGAAAGAAAAGAGAAGGGAAAGAAGACCCGTCTAGCTCGAGAGAAATTCATTCAAGTATCACAAAATTCTGGGGTAAAGCAGAGAAGTGGGTAGGTTCGTGCCGTTGTCCAGAATTAGTAGTCGTCGTGAGAAAATTAACCCTGACTACGCAAAGGTCCGCCGTTTTCTGTCCCCTGCTCCTTTATCGATCACGTTCAGGACCGAACTACTCGTTATTCGCTTCATTAATTAACTCTTTAGTGCTTGAACAACTGGAAATCAAGGCTATTATGGTTTAAGGCGGCTGTGCTTTAGAAACGTCTGCTGAAGTACAAATGACGGAGAGGGGCACACACACAACTCCATGCTGGCACACGCAGACACACACACACACACA